ACTTCGTTATATACCCTTTGTTGGCAATGACAGAGGTCAAACGTTTTCTGTAAGTCTTCACAAGGTTTTCACACACTGTTGCTGGTATTTTGGCCCATTCCTCCATGCAGATCTCCTCTAGAGCAGTAATGTTTTGGGGCTGTCGCTGGGCAACACCACACACATAGTGCTTAACAAATATATTACACCACCACCCAACATAAGGTTTGTGCCACAGCTGCCATAAACTAGCAGTATCGGTGATTACCAAAATAATTTTTTTATGTTTCTGTAATGGTTAATCCACACCCGTATGTGTAAGCTCTTTAGTCACAGTAGTGTGTAATGTTTATAATGCTAAGACATAATTATTGTTGGCTTTTATTGGATTAAAAAAATAAATCACACAAGAATTTCCTCAAAAGAAAGTCTTTGGAAACAACTAGAAACTATTTGGAAGTCAAAAACAACAGAGACTGTGGAAAAGTACATAAAAACAATGCCAGCAAGAATGCAAGTTATCATGCAAGTTATCAAGGCTAAAGGTGGGCATACTAAATAAAATCCCATACATTTTTTGGTTATTATGTGTGAATAAAGACTATTTAGTCTTAACTTAAGTTTGTTATTTGCCTAATAAATTACAATACAATTTTTTTTTAAACAAGTTTTTGATTGACAGATTCGTAAAATATTTGTTTTCTCGCTTATGACAGGTGGTCTAATAATTTTGTTAAGCACTATATATATATATATATTATATATTATATATATTAGGGTAAAACAGCCAAGAGTTGTTATTTTTTGTCTTTGGAACAAGCTTCAGGCTATAAATATCAGTCTATACTTATCCAAAGTATAAAGGAATGCCTAATAGCTAAATTGTATTTATAGTTTTTTTTAATCTTTCTAGTAATAAGCTGTAATACAAGACAAACATTTTTCAAACCTGCTTGAGCTTCCTTTTCTTCTATTTTCATATTTGATGTGCTTAATGTATGTGTGCTGATCAATGTTTGTGTGTGAATAAATGTAATTTTTTCATCATATAAAGCGATCGTGTCTCTTCAGAAGACTTGGATTAAACTTGATTAATATGGATTCTTTTACAATCTCTTTATGAACTGTTTGAAGCATCAGTGTTGTAGTGGAATGGACTTTCAATGGAGAGACAGAAATCGAGCCAATGCACATTGGCATGCAATGATTGCATCTAGCTGCCGCTGATCACAGCGTGAGCATAAAAAGGTAGCAGGTGCAACGCATACCAGCTTTTCGCATATAGTGATTTTAGTTTGGAGGGAAGAAGTCAAAAATAGTTGTAATTTAAATGGTTTTGATGGTAGACCAGCCAAGCTTCCTAGGCAGGGATGGTAGTAGTTTTTCCACCATGGCCCATAAAATGATAATTCATTAAATATAATGAAAATTAAATTGGAATGCAATTTTCTAACATTATCATTATATAGTGATTTTAGTTTGGAGGGAAGAAGTCAAAAATAGTTGTAATTTAAATGGTTTTGATGGTAGACCAGCCAAGCTTCCTAGGCAGGGATGGTAGTAGTTTTTCCACCATGGCCCATAAAATGATAATTCATTAAATATAATGAAAATTAAATTGGAATGCAATTTTCTAACATTATCATTATCAGTCGTGTATCATGACATTTTGAACCAGTGTCATGAATTAAATCGCGCTTAAAAGGCATTCTCAATCTCAACGCAATTCTGAGTGACAACTAGATGTGTAACTGCAGTCCAGTCCACATTTTCTTATCACACAGTTTTTGTGTGTAAACACGGAAGTCGCTGTACCGGAATCGCGTTGGCATTAGCTGTGTCCCAAAGTGAAGGGCACGGACTCCGAAGTGCATGAGACGCTCCGCTTTCGCAATATTTCCTAAATGTGCCAAGAGGGTCTAGCTGCAGCCTTGCACTTGCACTCTCAGACTTGCACTTTCAGACTTGCACTCTCAGACTTGCGTTCTCAGACTTGCACTTTCAGACTTGCACTCTCAGACTTGCACTTTCAGACTTGCATCCTCAGACTTGCGCTCTCAGACTTGCGTTCTCAGACTTGCACTTTCAGATTTGTGTTCTCAGACTTGCACTCTCAGACTTGCGCTCTCAGACTTGCGTTCTCAGACTTGCGTTCTCAGACTTGCACTCTCAGACTTGCGTTCTCAGATTTGCGCTCTCAGACTTGCGCTCTCAGACTTGCACTTTCAGACTTGCATTCTCAGACTTGCATTCTCAGACTTGCGCTCTCAGACTTGCGCTCTCAGACTTGCGCTCTCAGACTTGCGTTCTCAGACTTGCGCTCTCAGACTTGCGCTCTCAGACTTGCGTTCTCAGACTTGATGCACCACAAAGCATGAGAACACCACAGCGTCTTGTCTCCATTGGCAACACGCACGATTTGTGTCGATTGCAAGTGACGTCGCAGGTGTTGGAGAGCGCAAGTGAAGATTGCAAGTGACTTCGTAATTTAGTTTTTTTCTTGTCTTCACCACCTGGCTACTGTTGTAAAATGTTGAGAGATTCAAACAAAAAAATAATAAATAAATAGAACAAAATAAAAAATAAAGACTGCAAGTGACGTCGCTAGCGGAAGCGCAAGTGTCTGAGAGTGCAAGTCTGAGAGTGCAAGTCTGAGAGTGCAAGTCTGAGAGTGCAAGTCTGAGAGTGCATGTCTGAGAGTGCAAGTCTGAGAGTGCAAGTCTGAGAGTGCAAGTCTGAGAATGCAAGTGCAAGTCTGCAGCCAGACCCTCTTGGACAGTGCTACTGGATCTTCTGAGAAGTGAACGGTAACACGGATAGGGTGCCACAATCCAGACCCTGGCATTTATTTTCTGTCTGCCAGTGGTAAATCATACAGAGTGGTCTCCAGAGTGTTTGACATGTCTCGTTCCACTGTCACCGCATTGTCCTCCGAGTCACTGAGGAGGTGCTGGCCATTCACCAAGAGATTCACCTCCTGAAGACCCCAGAACACTTGGAGGCAGGGCTGGGCTCAAAACTGATGTTGTTTTTTCTGATGTTAAACCTAAGCTATGTTGTAAATAGTTGTAAAAAGTACTTTCAGTGATGTATAGAACAATTTATTTTAATGCGTAAAAAAATTATTTACAGGACAAAAAAATAAACGTATAGAAGAATGTACAAAATTCTTAGCTGCATTAAAAAAATTAACAATGTACATAATTACTTCTCTTTTATTTACACATACGAACATGCTTGACAAAAAATACAAAATGTAAAGAAAATACTGTATAAATGACATTACAAAAATGCAACATATTCATTTAATTTTTAACTTGCATCACAAAAATAAACTACAGAAATTAGGTTGTTTCATTGACAAATGTGACATTTAAAAAAAGATATTGAAAAATTGTAATGTACCCATTTTTTCCACGGCTTTCTCTTGCCTAATAGAGAATGGCTAATAAATTATGTATTTGTTAAGGATTCTCTCAAGAAGAGAAAACAGTCTCTCCATTCTCTCCTGGGCTCTTCTCTCCTCTGTCTCTCTCGCTGGAGTTTGATATCCTCCCTGAGCAGCTCCACCAGCTTCCACTCACTCCCTCACCGGTCCCAGGACACTCTACCACACTAAGGCAGAGTGGGTGCAATCTTAACATTAGAAAATATGACACTGCAGGACATGCATACAAAATACTGAAGTGCTCATCCTGAGCTCAGTGTTGCCAACTTAGCAATTTTGTTGCTAAATTTAGCAACTTTTCACACCACCCTAGCAACTTTTTCTTCCAAAAGCACCTAGCAACAAATGTAGCTATTTTGCAAATGTATTTGGCAATTTTTTAGCAACTTTTGATAAGTGACTCAAACGATAAAAAGGCACACAATTTCCATCTAAATGACACAAAAAGAGGAAACCACAGCTGCCTAGCAGTACACACATCACGTGAAGTAAGTTAGCTGCTATTTGCAATTGTTCAATTTAATGAATAATTGTTATTGAATAATTGTTCATTTATGATACACCTTAGCTTGTACCTTCGATTGTTGATCAGTTGGTACACGGTAAGAAAAATATTGAGAAAAATGGAAAATGTATTTTTCAGGACATTATGTGTTATCCATTATCTGTTGTAACCCTGCAACCCGAAAACACAAAACACAATGGGGTGTATGCAGGTAAAAACCCTTGAAAAATCAATAGGGAAAATTTCTTCATATTAACATAGTAGATTGTGCCCTGACTTTTCTTAGAGTGTAGCATACTAACTAACTACGGTTACACTTTACTTGAAGGGGTGTGCATAAGACTGACATGACACCTTCATAATCATGACATGACACCTACATAATTATGACATGACACATTTCATGAATATGAAGGGTTTTTATGCATGTTTAGGACAACTGTCATTAAGTGTCATTCACTCAGTTATGTAATTTGTAATGCAAAGATAACATTGTTTGAGATGTCTTTGTTATGGGCTATGGCTAGGGGTAAGGGTAGGGGTAGGGTTAGGTCAAATAATGTCATATTTGCATTACAAATGACATAACTGAGCGAATGACACTTAATGACAGTTGTCATAAACATGCATAAAACCTCCTTCATATTCATGACATGTATCATGTCATGATTATGAAGGTGTCATGTCAGTCTTATGCACACCCCTTCAAGTAAAGTGTTACCCTAACTACTAATACACTGCTTAAGACTATAAGTGTTCAGAATGTGTAGTTGTATTTGTTTATTAGCTCATACAAAAATAAATAATTGTAATGGTTTAAAAAACGTGTACGTGTTCAATAATTCAATGTTGTATTTAAAAATACAGTTATTTATATTTTATATATTACTTTACGAACAAATCTAAATAACATCTCAAATGTATTGTTTGCTGAGATTTGATGTAGTGACATTTTTGCGTCACAATGTCATTTAGCAACTTTTAGCAACAACTCGACCTTCCTTTAGCAACTTCCCCTGAAAATGAGTTGGCAACTCTGCCTGAGCTTACGTCTTGACGCAGACGCACTTCAGATGCGCACTTCGGAGTGCGCGGACCTCACTTTGGGAATTGGGACACGACACAGTCAGCGTTTAGTCAAGCTCGTGCCACTGTGTCGCTGTCTGAAGCCATAATGCGCTTAACAACGCTGTTTATCGTTGTCCTCTGCGCTTATCAAGGTGAGTTAATGTATTACACTAGTTATAGTAATATTCGTAAGGTGTTTGTGGGATTGAGACACAATATCGATGGATACATCTCGTGACATGTTTATCTCTAAATCCTTGTATTTGGAAATTAAACGAATATCTCTGCTATTATTCTACATGTTGTTGGCTAAGTATTCTCCTAAAGTACGACATTTTCCCCACTTTTGTAATGCGTGACAGTTTTTGGGGCAGAGGTGGTAAAACATGTCTGGCTCAACCACATTCCTGCTTTTGAAATTTAGGCAAATAGGATATACTTCCTGTTTGTGGTCGCCAATGTTTACATATTGCGATATCTGCGTGCGTGTTCCCTATTTACCGTATTCTCTTAGTAAATCGGTAAAAATATGAACAAATCAGGCGAAACCCAACATGAAGACTATTAGCAGGGTGTTGGGCCACCAGAACAGCTTACACGCTCCTTGGCATTGCTTCTGCAAGTCTAAGCCGGGCTTGACCCTAACCTTTTCCCACATGTGCTCCTAAGGTGAAAAATTTAGAAGCGCAATGCAAATTTTTCAAATGATGTGTTTTAGCTTAATAAGGGGGATATGAGACATTTACAAGCACAATTATTATTATTACAGAAAGTACACACGGTTTTTAAATAATTTAGTTTCAGACTCTATTTAATAGGCTAATTATATAATTATTATATTATATGTAGCCTACATTAGGTATGTGACGGTATTACATTTTCACAATAGTCGTTTAAGCTTTGGTCACGGTATCACAATATATAATTTAGTAAGAGAAAAAAAGTGTTGTCCTCCTAACAGGTTAAATAACTTTATTAAAGAAAGACTTTATTTAAAAAAACAAATACACAAAAAATATAACGTAAACCAGTGTTTCAAGATTAGAGTGCAAAAGACTAACGTTCAGATGAACAAAAGAACTATAGGTAACACTTTACAATAAGATCCCATTTGTTAACATTATTTAAAGCAGGTTAACATTAAAGGGGTCATGTGTTGCAAGTGATCTTAAAGATTCCTAAATGCATCTACTTTCGGAAGGCCAAATAAAGTGCTTTTGCTTTCGCCTAGAAACACACAGCGTCTCCCTGACATGCTGCTTCAACACTAACTGCGGTTACTGAAACCACGCCTTCTTTCTTTGCTGCACATTTGGGCACATTATGCACATATTCCTACATAGTGAGGTAGATATGTGGGGGCGTGTTAGAACGAGCCGTTTTAGGGGGGCGTGGCAGAGTCTTAACTTTGATAAAGAATATCTCTTTGGTTTTGAGACTTTAGTCTTTGCAACTTCAGGGATCTTATCTATGCACAATCAGCTTGTAACACTCTAAAGAGAAAGGAAAACTTGAAATCGCATCATATGACCCCTTTAACTAACAATATGCAATAGCTATTTGTTGCAGTAGTTAATATTCTTTGTTAACGTTAACTAATAAAATTACAACTATTTATTGTTAGTTAATGTTAGCTCCATTGAATAATATTAGCAGACACAACTTTTGATTTTATAATGTATTATTAAAAGTTGAAATGAACAAACTATGATTAATAAATGCAATCATTGTTAATTCATGTTAACAAATGAGGTTAATTAATGTTAATGGAACCTGTTAAGTGTTACAGAACATACAATAATAACGAATCCGTTAGGCCATATTTTAGGTTCGATTAAAAGGAAAAAAATGTTTAAGTTTGAAATTAAACGGCTCATTAAGTCTTTAAGTAATTATTTGGTGCTATGGTGAAGACTAAAGTGACTGTAAATATCTAAATGACTATGAAACATTGGGCAAATTCCAAACGGCTTTTTTGCGCCCTTGAAGGGCACTTCGGGAAGGGGACACCATTTGTAGGGACGTTCCAAACGAATCCCTTCGCGAAGGGCCCTTCCAGAAGTCCGTTAGCGAAGGGAACATGCGATGGTCACTTCACGGAAGTGATTTCCGTTTGTGATCATGTGATCTTCGGTTAGGAGATCTTGCGATGCATTTTAAAGCAAAGTTGTGGTTCATTTCGACTTCACATACAAACGTAAGTAATTTAATACCTAATTAAATTTGTCTTTATTTTAATGTAAAAAAAAAATAATTTCATCAGAAATATTATTTAAGATGGTAGTTTAAGCAAGTTTAGTTTGAAAAAGCTTAATAGTAAATAAGTAAATAATAATAATGATTAGAAATATATATTTGCAACAACTGGTGGAGTGCTGAATGCACGCATGCGCAGCATTGTCAAGGTAACATTTGGTCAGTCATTCTCTTCGCCAAGGGAGTTCCAAACGCTTATACGAGACAGTAATGCCCTGCACCCTTCAAAGAACACACTTCAAGGGCTCTGCCCTTCGAAGGGAGTAGGACATAGGGATGCTCACTTCTGTTTGGAATTCGCCCATTATTTACACAGTTCAGAAAGTAGTGCAGCTGCTTTGTTTACAGGGTTACCGGGGTAGCGTCAGCGCCCTCTAGTGGCGAGTGTGTGTTTTCATTCAGCGCATCCTCTTCCCTCGCTCCACCTTTCTTCTCATCTGTGCTAAAAAAAAATATATATATATATATATATTTTTTAATTAATTTTTTTTTTTAAAGTTCAGTAATCATATGAGGCTGTATCGCTGTTTTTCCATAAATAAATTGAAGAAATTAATACGTTTGTTATAGGCTACTGTGTAAGTTAGGCTGTTTAAGAAATTGTATTCACGCTCATGCTCCTAAATACATTTTCCTATTTTTAGTCGCAAATGCGAGTGAACTGCTAGCACTGTCCAGCCCTGCTAAGGACATAGGACACGATTCCTTCATTTGAAGTTTTGATAATACGATAGGCTTAAACTGTGTGTTATGCCCAACATTTTATTGTGATGTTTCTATTTTGTGATATTTTCCAGTTTGCTCACTGCCGAGTAACATTTCAGGAGAAAGTTCTAGACAACTGGATGCAGAAGAGGGTACAGCTGTTTCACCGAGAACAGCTGCAAAAGGGCCAAAAAGTAATGATGTAGACGCTTCAAATAATAATGATCCAGATTACAAAATAGGTGAAAAACCAAATGAAGAACAGAAGAACCCATCTGCCAGCAATGAAGGAAGTAATAAGGAAATTGCCCCTCAAACTCCTGAAGAAACTCAAAGCAAAAAGAATGAAGCAAACAATGAAAAGAGTCAAACCCTAACTGACGGTGTTAATGAAAACACACCCCTGGAAAATGCTAACAGAGATGAAGCTGAGTCAAATAATGAAGGAAAAGACAAGCTGCCCGTACTTGCCCAAAATGAAACAGACAATCCAAAAAACACAGATGAAACTGATGAAGCTGCACCGAAAGAAGAGGCTAAAGAGAAGATGACCTCAGCTGAACTAAATAAAGAGGATGATGCACAAGCAGGCTCTAAACCTGCTGAAGGTGGTGGAGAAAAACCAAAAGATGATGGAACAGGTCAAGAGGAGCATAAAGACGTTGTAGGTGAACCAACTGGTGAAAAAGGTGACGAGAAGCCGACCATAGCTGACCAAAAAGAAGAGGCTGAAGACAATAAGAACTCTGAACCTTCTGAAGAGGGTGAAGATGAAACCGATGGCAAGAGTGAAGAGAAGTCAGCTGGACCTGAGATCCCTACAGACGAAGACGTACAAAATGGTGATTCAGCAAATGGACCTGAAGAAGGTGAAGGTGAAGGTGAAGGTGAAGATACTGTTGATGAATCTTCAAATGAACAGGATACGTTTAACAGCAAAACAGAAAAGAAGGACAATAAAGTGAAAGCTTATCAACAAGAGGAGAGTGCAGAGAACAGCCACTTCTTTGCCTATCTGGTCTGTGCCGTTATACTGGTGGCTGTGCTGTATATCGCCAGTCACAACAAGCGCAAGGTTAGTGGGTCTGTTTGTACATGCACCTTTTTCCATCCTAGAGACTTTGTGCGTTTTTAGTTTTTTTACTGCTGTGTTTTAAAGATGTCAAATGGCAATTAAATGACTTTAATTCGCCTTTGCCTGCAGATCATTGCCTTCGTCTTTGAGGGCCGGAGATCAAGAGGCACACGGAGACCCAAGTCATCTGATTACCACAAACTCGACCAGAGTGTAAGTAGCGTTACGTACACACACAGTGAGTTAAGACTCCTATCTATTCCTTTTATTAAAAAATATTTGAAAAATTTTAAATTCTATGCACACATTTTCTAAATTAAAATTCCTATTAATAATGTTTTTATCAAGCATAAAGTAAAACATTCCAGGGTGATAAAACTGTCATAATATCATATTGAAGGAAAAATATCAAAATAAAACCTTAAGTAGTTTAAAGGGGTCATGAACTGCCTTTTGTGATTTTGTACTGTTTTCTGAGGTCCACTTATAATGTTACCTAGATTTTACATCATAAAACATCATAATTTAGAAGTAATAGGCTATTTTCTGTCCTGTTTTGACCCCCCTCCTCAGAACGCTCTGTTTGAATAGGCGTGGCGGATCATAGACTCGGAAGTAAACACCCACGGCTATGATTGGCTAACAGTTGTGTATTACATTCCTCACAGATGGACACCGCAGTTATTTAGGTCAGAAATGCATAAATAACTCAATACATATTAAACGATCTGTAATGACAGGCAAAGCAATAGTGATTACGTAATAAAAACAGTTACTCACACTTGTGTGTTGCAATATAGTCGGCACAGCGTCATCTTTTAGTTTCAATCTTTCTGAAAATCCTGCGTCAAATTGTGCCTTGTTTGTAAACAAATACGCTGTAAAATGAAGTGAACAAAGGACAACGTTCTTACCGACACGGTCTGGAACTTTATTAAAAATAAAAATCTAATCAAATTTATCGTGTGGTTTCTGCGTAGACCTGCGTTTGTCGAGTTCTGAAACTTACAGAATATTTTTATAACACAATCCTCTTATATGTCAAACGAACAAGGGAATTTTGATTTCTAAGTTCATGACCCCTGTAATAAAGCTTTTATGTGTTTAACAAAACCACTTTGTAACAAAGTTCGTAGTCACGGGAAGAAGGAGGCGGGAACCGGCGAACATTTGAACAAAACTTTAATAATAAAATAAACACAAAATAGCGTGACAGCCCCTCGCTGACGACTGTCGCGGACAAACAGAACCAAAACACAAAATAAAGTCCAGGCCTGGTCCTCTCTCGTCCGACACTGTCGTCACTCCTCCTTTTATCCTTCCGGAGCTCCTCCGTGGGACTCGAGACCGGTGAGTGGCACAGGTGTCGCACATTAGCTTTTACTCCACCGGCCTCGTTCTGCTCCCACGGCTCTCGGCCCCGCCCCACTCACAAAGTTCGTAGTCACGGGAAGAAGGAGGCGGGAACCGGCGAACATTTGAACAAAACTTTAATAATAAAATAAACACAAAATAGCGTGACAGCCCCTCGCTGACGACTGTCGCGGACAAACAGAACCAAAACACAAAATAAAGTCCAGGCCTGGTCCTCTCTCGTCCGACACTGTCGTCACTCCTCCTTTTATCCTTCCGGAGCTCCTCCGTGGGACTCGAGACCGGTGAGTGGCGCAGGTGTCGCACATTAGCTTTTACTCCACCGGCCTCGTTCTGCTCCCACGGCTCTCGGCCCCGCCCCACTCGTCACACACTTTTTAGTATTTTAAAAACTTAAGTCCGCTAAATCAGTCATGTTGTGTAACCAACATGCATGGAAACAAATCAAATGAAAAACATGAAACAGGAAATGATTTCATAGAGAGGAGCTGTGTAGACGCTCATTTCACTTTTTATGACAAGACAAAGTTAGTTCAGAAAGTAATGTGGTGTGATAACTCGCCAAAACTTTTACTATATTTGTAAAAAACAAAGAGAAACGATATCGTTGGAATCACTTTCAGAACGATTTTTTCTCCAGCTGATGAACGACACAAACATTGACAGCCAATCAGAATCCATCCTGCTGTAACGAGCTCGAGAATTGAAAGCGGCAGACGCGCGTGCGCTTAGAATAAACAGACGATATCGTTCGCTGGTGTGGACGCTAATATCGTTATCTTTATAGTTCTCGTGCTTGGTGTGAACGGGGCTTTAGAACCCGTTCAGCCCGATGGTGGAAAAGCAGCTTATGTTAATCAAATAAAACCGTCCAATAAAAATATCTGTTGCCACGTTACTACATTACATTAAGTAACCGTTTTTACAGCAGTAGAATTTAGTTGTTAAACCAATCAATTCTCTTACATTTGAACTGAAATTGTATTGTATTGTCTGTATTCTGTTTTCCAGTGAGAAAACCCAGTCAGATGAATCAGCGGTGGATGAATCTAAATACTTGAAGTGTGATTTTGAAACTTTAATTATCCATAATGAGGCATATATCACCACTCATAAACATTGCACAGCAACTGTCACTAACTCATCCAAAATGATATTAATAATGACAAATTCTCATCCATCCTTAGCATGTCAGGTATGTTGAAAACAATGTCTCTTGTAGTTCTAAAATGTCCGGGATGATCTTCAGTCAGGTTTAGCGTGTTACAAACACATATTGGACATATTGCAGATGTTGGTACTGTGGCCTCTCGTTCTATTTAAATTCCAAGCCTTTTTTGGGTAGAGTTACGTGGTTGTCTTTGTTTTTTCTTTTTCTCAATTTATTGCTGGGCGAAATATGTAATACCGAAGGGACCGATATGTATATTTTTGAAAGTATATGTTGGCTGCTTTTTCATGAAGATGAATGACGTTTAATAAGATTGGGAATGATTGAGTTTTGAAATGTTCTTCTTGACACTTCTTGAGCACTTCTTGAAGCTGATCGCACACATTTATGGGACAGGTGAATTCTTTCTACAGGTGTGGATTAGAAAAGGAGTGGCAAGCTTTTGTTCTTCTGTTAAAGATGTTCAAAACACCATGAAAGCATCTTAACCGCTCTATGAATGCTAAATTAGCTTTGAAGGGCTCAACACAAAGGATTTTATTTGCTGGCCCAGTCAGACCAGTTCAGATTCATACTTGCCCTTTTCACTGGCCCAAGAACAAAAATAATTTAATGCGTCAGAAAGAAATGTTTTTTATATATATAATTTTTTTTTTTTCAAAAAAGACTCATTTATTAGGGTTTAAAGCAATTTAAATACATTTAATTGCATACAGTGTGCACACCATCTATGCTGTGAGGTGTTTGAGTCCGTTTAGTCTGTTTATATTGTATTTGAATTTATCAGTCAGGGGTTCGGTTGTGGTTTTTTAAATGGACTGCATTTGGACACTTTGAGGAAAAAACACTACAGCCCTGATTTTGACGAGTTGCACTTTTCATTCTTCTAAAAGCTTTGACTCAAGTGACTTTAATGTTGAAAGAAGCCATCCAGTTCTGCAGTCAGTCCACTGTTTAGCTGATGAAGAAGCCACCGTTGTTTGAAAGATATGGTGTACAGTAGGATTATAATTACCCACGCTTGATTTATGAAGCAAGATTTCTGTGCCAAATCTAGATAATGCCCAGGAATGAGAAACAAACGGATATATATTCATACTCCTCTTATCCTAAAAGTGGGAAATATTGTGGATGTTTTATTTGGCGTGATGTACAACAACTATCACACCCCTGATATGCCTATATTGAGATTCCCGCTGTATTCTCCGTTAAGCCTGTGATTGATGATTTGACATTTAACCAGTGGCTTTGCACAACCACTTTTCTTGAAATTCTGGACCTATTTTGAATTATTATGTGGGTAAAAATATATGAAGGGGGTTTAACTTACCTATTTACTGTGGTCAATCTTTTATCACTATTGAAACATTTGTGATACAAAACAAGTGATATTCTTTCTACTCTGAAAAGAGATGGAATAAAGGTTTGACTTTTCCTCTGACTGGTCTCTTCTTGTCACCGGAGTTATTATTGTGAACTAAGACTAAAAACGTAACTAAAAACGTCAATAAACATTACCTGAAATAAAAAAGAAATAAATAAACTTCAACATTTTTTAATTCAACATTGTAAGTTGAAGTACTAAAATAAAGCTAAATAAACCTCTTAAATTGATTTACAATTAAATAGACTACATATATAAACTAATAATACATAAAAAATTTATTAATACATTTATTATAAATAAAAAGTTTTTGAACGGTAAGATTTTTACTGTTTTTTTTTTTTTTTTAAGAATTCTCTTCTGCTCCCCAAGCCTGCATTTATTTGATCCAAAAGCAGCAATATTGTGAATTTTTGCCTTTACTATTTAAAATAACTACTTTTTATTTTAATATTTTAAATGTAGTTTATTCCTGTGATCAAAGCTGAATTTTCAGCATCATTACTCCAGTCTTCAGTGTCGCACGGTCCTTCAGAAATCACTCTGCTGATTTGCTGTTTAAGAAACATTTTTTATTATTATTATCAATATTTAAAACAGTTGAGTACATTTTGTTTCAGGGTTATTTGATGAATAAAAAGATCCAAAGATCAGCATTTATCTGAAATAAAAAGCTTTTGTTACATTATAAGCTTGTTACAGGTCCCGGGCAGTCGGGAAGACTGTAAGCAGTAATCAACTTAGCAGTAAATGAGAGAGACAAGAGTTACTGTCACGGTCCCCTTTATTGTCTGAGGATGAGCTGCAGTCATCACGGTAACTACTGACACCCAGAATTCAGAAAATGCAGCTGAACTCTTCAGTGTAAACTCATTATAATACATTTAAGTAATTAAAATTAGTGCTGCCAAACGATTAATCATATCCAAAATAAAAGTTTTTGCTCACATAATACAGTATATGTGTGTACTGTGTATATTTATTATGTATATATAAATACAAACACTTGCATGTGTATATATTTAAGAAAATATGTCATGTTTATATATTTATATACAATCTAAATTAGATGAATATAAATATATACATGTAAATATTCTCAAAATATATACTGTATGTGTCTGCTTTTATATATATGTAATAAATGTACACAGTACACAAACATATGTAAACAAAAACGTTTATTTTGGATGCGATTAATCGTTTGACAGCACTTATATATACATATAAATAGAAATAAACATGAATAAAAATTTTATATATACAAATAATTTAATTTGTGACCCAAACTGTATGTAGGGGGGTCACACTCTCCCCAACAAAGAAGCTAATGCCTCCAAATATTGTTTAAATAACCGTATTAGTTTGTTGGTTCCTTTTTATCTTTCAATAGGCAAATATGGGGTAATTTAATGGTGTCAGTGTCCGGTACACTCTAAAAAACGCTGGGTTAAATACAACCCAGTTGCTGGGTTTGTCCGGACAAACCCAGCAATTGGGTTGTTTTGACCCAGCGGTTGGGTTAAATGTTTAACCCAAACTTCTGGGTAGTAACCCAACCGCTGGGTCAAAACAACCCAATTGCTGGGTTTGTCCCTATTTTACCCAGCACTGGGTTGTATTTAACCCAGCATTTTTTGTGTATGGTATGTGTATGGTATGAAAAGAGCAGGTATGTAGAATGATGGTATGTATGTTGGTGTTGGAGAAGTGTAGTATTGTGAATAACTGCTTGCTGGCATGGCTGGTGTCCCGTTAAACCCTAAAGTGTTAACTGATGTGTGTGTCTGTAATGATGGCTGACCTAAATGTGAGTAGGTGAGCCTCTGTGCTGGTCTTCGATGCCTTGTAGATCTATTGAAGGGGGATTTTGTGTAGTTGTGTTTGGGTTAGTTAGGACAACAGGAATGCCTCTGTCTTCATGGATGCTCTCTGGTACAAATGCCTCCTCATCTACAGGTAATTATTCTTCATCGGCTTGTGTTTCTGCAGGTAAGTATTCCTTATGCTCTCTTGTACTGATGTCTTTGAGGTTGTGACTCACTATACTCGTGCCATGAGATAGGAAATGTTGGAGTTCCAGACCGTTTCAAGGAGTCCACTGCAGTAGTTAAAGCTTCTATTTGTACCCTCAGCTGCTGAATGGTCTTATCTTTTGTCATCTCATCCACTCTCACCATTTCAGACTCAAACTGTGCGCTGTGTGCATGTACCACTGTATGGCGTTGCCTCTCCCTTTCATCACTTGTAATTCTTATTACATGCCTCAGCAGGGTTTCATCAGCGACACTGGCATCTAAGAGGAAAGATTAGAGTTCATAGAAGAGGCCCATGGAATCTTTAATATCTGAAGACTATTTGTGTGGAAGAATGGGCCAAAATCACACCCGAGCAATGCATGTGACTAGTTTCTCCATACAGGAGGCGTCTTGAAGCTGTCATTACCAACACAGGCTTTTGTACGAAGTATTAAATAAATTTCAGCAAGCATGTTCAATGCTTTTTCCCTGGGTCATTCCATTTTATTACACAGAACTTAATTTTAATTTCTTATTTGTATTGTTTTCTTGTATGTGTGGGTTTTCTTGTAACACCTGGTGAAAACTTTGTCAACAGCACTTTTAGAAATATATTTACTGAGAAAAATGTTGATGTGTTCAATACTTATTTTACCCACTGTATATACATATAAATAGAAATAAACATAAATAAAAATGAAATATACTAAAATAATTTTATTTGTGGGGGTGGTCACACACTATACCGTTCAAAACTTGGAGCCAGTATAAATTTTTTTTTTGGAAAGAAATTATAGAAACTAATATTTTTATTTAGCAAAGATGCTTTAAATTGATTAAAACTGTTACCAAATGTTTCAGATAAATGCTGTTCTTCTGAACGTTCTGTTAAAGAAACTTGAAAAAATGATACTCCGCTGTTTTCAACATAATAATAACAATTTCTTGAGCAGCAAATCAGAATATTAGAATGATTTCTGAAGGATCATGTGACACTGGAGTAATGATGTTTAAAATTCAGCTTTAAAATTACAGGAATAAATTAAATTTTTTAAATATATTCATAGAAAACAGTTAAATAGTAAAAAAATATTTCAAACTCTTACTGTTTTTGCTGTACTTTGGATCAAATAAGTGCAGGCTTGGTGAGCAGATGAGAATTCTTTAGACACTGGCATCTAAGAGGAAAGATTAGAGTTCATAGAAGAGGCCCATGGAATCTTTAATATCTGAAGACTATTTGTGTGGAAGAATGGGCCAAAATCACACCCGAGCAATGCATGTGACTAGTTTCTCCATACAGGAGGCGTCTTGAAGCTGTCATTACCAACACAGGCTTTTGTACGAAGTATTAAATAAATTTCAGCAAGCATGTTCAATGCTTTTTCCCTGGGTCATTCCATTTTATTACACAGAACTTAATTTTAATTTCTTATTTGTATTGTTTTCTTGTATGTGTGGGTTTTCTTGTAACACCTGGTGAAAACTTTGTCAACAGCACTTTTAGAAATATATTTACTGAGAAAAATGTTGATGTGTTCAATACTTATTTTACCCACTGTATATACATATAAATAGAAATAAACATAAATAAAAATGAAATATACTAAAATAATTTTATTTGTGGGGGTGGTCACACACTATACCGTTCAAAACTTGGAGCCAGTATAAATTTTTTTTTTGGAAAGAAATTATAGAAACTAATATTTTTATTTAGCAAAGATGCTTTAAATTGATTAAAACTGTTACCAAATGTTTCAGATAAATGCTGTTCTTCTGAACGTTCTGTTAAAGAAACTTGAAAAAATGATACTCCGCTGTTTTCAACATAATAATAACAATTTCTTGAGCAGCAAATCAGAATATTAGAATGATTTCTGAAGGATCATGTGACACTGGAGTAATGATGTTTAAAATTCAGCTTTAAAATTACAGGAATAAATTAAATTTTTTAAATATATTCATAGAAAACAGTTAAATAGTAAAAAAATATTTCAAACTCTTACTGTTTTTGCTGTACTTTGGATCAAATAACTGCAGGCTTGGTGAGCAGATGAGAATTCTTTAAAAAAACATTAATAATAAATAATAATAATATTGCATTTTATTTGAAATGCGCTTTTCTTAAACCCAAAGTGTTACAGTAAAACTAAAACACAAAAAGAACAACACAAAAATACAAGAATTAATTAAAAACAACCTTAAATAAATGCATCTTAGTCAAAATTGTATAGTGATCCAGAGTTGGTGCATTTCTATTATTAAAAGGAAGTGCATTCCATAATTTGGGGGCTTTGAATGAAAAAGCTCTTTCCCCCATAGTCTTAAGTTTGCATGATAAAGTAAAAGAGAACTGGCAGAGTGGAGAGAGTCGAGAAGGAGTACATGAACTAATAAGAGAGCAAAGATGCGCTGGTGCAGTCCCATGTAGTGCTTTGTATGTTCAAATTAGAATTTTAAAATCATTCCATAGCATTGAAAGCCAGTGTAACTGCAGTGAAAGCACTGTGTAATGTGTTCCCGTGGAGTAAACACACGAGCAGCAGAATTTTGAATGTACTGGAAGGCCAGAAAAAGCATTAAAAACCTTACTGTTTAAAGACTTTTGACTGGTAGTGTATTTATAAAAAAATTTAAATGACAAAAGCACACAAAATTACTAAAACTAAAAGTGTGACTGAATACACGAAATATAAAATAAATGTCAAATTATTACCTGCTGCTTGTTTCCGTCACACAGGAAGAGGAAGTGATGAGTGGTGGAGATTAAAGCGAACAGGATGGATACAGAGCCATATAACGCAATTTAACACACCTTTATTTCAATGAAATAGAGTTAAAGGCGATGGACGAGTTTCCCCAGCTAATGTGATCGTGATCTGGAAAACAGAGACTCGTTATTACCTCCGTAAGACTTTATAAAGCTTTATAATCTAACATTAGCCAGCTAGCTGCACAAATTCATAATCATCATACTGTATCATAACAATTCACCCATTAAAAAAAAATCAATCAATAAAGGCGGCCCCAGCTGTTGGT